TTTGTTTGGCCAAGCTATGGCTTGAAAAACCAGATCTGAGTGATTCCCAAATCTGTCTTCAGGTGCTTAATCCAACAGTGGTGATCAAAATATTTTCTGACAAGGAAGACAGCAACCAAGATGCAATAAGTTGGTCTTGTTTAACCCATGTGAGGTAAGATTTGTTCACCATAGGCTCTCCTGTGTCTGGATCTGTTATGATCTTCTCTGGTTCTCCAACCTCTCCTGTGAGAAAACCAAGCAAGCCATAGCCTCGAAGTGTGGTGACAATTTGTTGTTCCCATATGAGGAAATTGCTGTCACTAAGCTTCACAGAAATAAGTTGGCTTTGGAGTTGAATAGTGCTTTCATTTTGGACTGAACTAGAGGCCATGATGAAGAAAGAAAGATAAAAAATGAAGAAGAGAAAAGATGGATCTGAGCTTAACCAAGAATGGCTAGCTCTGATACCATAAAAGGAAATCAGAAAATTCAAACAACATAAAGATGAAAGAAGACATTTTCCTCATTGATGTTAAAATCGATTTTTGCATCTATTACAAGCAGCTATCATGCATCTTCACTGCAGCAACTATTAAGAGTGTATATTTATACTACCAATGCACTACTCAACACCATAGGATCATTTACACGTGCCAGTTCTCTACTACAAACCATAGGATCATTATGCATGCTGTTAGGGTTGATATTCTTGTCTTTTTGTTCTGCCAGCTTTCTGTTTCCTTTTCCTTTAGCTTGTACCATGAATGAACTGTCAAGTGATGTGGCAAGACCATGGCAGAGATCATTGACTCCTCCATCTTTTATGTCCAAGTCATTCTCCACGTGTGCATGCAAGGCTGCATGGCTCTCAACAAACACTACTTTTTCTTCTGCAGCGTTCACAAATCCAACGTATGCTACTTCCTCAGAAATCATTTTCACACAGGAAATTAGATGTTTCACGTATAGTCTAGCCACAGCTTCAAGTTCATCCAGATGTTGTGCTTCATAAGGAGACTGAAAGGCTAGAACTTTCAGTACAGATAGATATCTGAAAGCATATTCACCTGCCCTTGAACCCCTGAAGGGCAAAAATATGTGGCCTTCTGCACTTGGTACTAAGGTAAAACCACCTCTATACAAGAGAATGTCGAGAATGTCAGGAAGACTTAAGATTGCAAGGAGAAAAGCTTCATGAGGAAGAAGCCAAGATTGCTACAACATTGAAAAAATTTGGCTTGCAAATGAGATGCCAGAAATGCTTGTAGGTCAACAAAAGAACTTATGAAAATAATGAAGCTGCCCCTAAGCCACCAAGGGTGAGTATTAATTGTTGCATTTATACTTGATTTTTTCCTTTATATTTGTATCTTAATCTTAAAACGTTTGTATGGTTGTTCGAATTGTAGAAAAAGATTGGAAGACTAAAATTACAGGACAGACTTTGTCCTACTGAAAATTAGTTTCCTGATGCACTTCAGAATGACCAATCAAGAAATCTACCCCTATGCAAGGCAGAAAAAATAAATAATCCAATTAGAAAGGGTACTACACAATCTGGCAAGGGGCAAATGTACAAGGATAGAGCATTGGTATTATGAGAATTGTCTGAATTCCATAGTAATAATCTTAAATAAGTGTTGTTCAGTTCACGGTTGTGTATCTAATGCAGGCAAGAAAGGGCTATGGTGTTTACCAATCTGAAGAAACTAATGCAATTTACACGAGGATGAGTAGCTTTCTTTATACAAATTAATGGTGCATTATCATGAGGGTGAGTATGTCTAATTAACACTAAAATTTTAATATGTTAGATGTCAAGTGACAAAACGATTCATTGTCTGTCTTCACATGGAGGGACTAAGCCAAGTGACAAGAGAACTTGGAGGAGACACTGCAGGAACATAAGAAAGTGCGGCCAAGTAATTTTGTTTTTTGTTTTTTGTTTTTTGTTTTTTTTTTTAATTTTGATTTTGGAAGTGCAATGTACCTAGATAAGTCATCAATGAATAGTGTATTGCACCATTTGTTTAGGTGCTACCTTTTGTGGAATTCAATTGTAAGGAATTACATTTGAAGTGTCAAACGAGAATTTGTTCTTTTGTGAATTTTGGTGGTTTCAGGGGCTTTATTAGTGTTATTGCTTGTGTTTAGGCCAATGAATCTTGTCTGTTTGAATGACATGGTTTCAAGACTTTATTAGTGTTGTTGCTTATGTTTATGCCAAGAAATCTTATCAGTTGTTCTTGTGTGTTTGAATTGTATGGTTCCAGGGCTTTATTAATGGTATTGGTTAGGTTTAAAGAAGCATATAAGTAACAGCTCATGTCCTTATAGAACACACAAAATCTCACATAACATTAAAAGTGTCCATGTCTTTACCAACATAAATCAAACAACATTGGTTTCAAACACTAATCACACAAAACCTACAATGTTTCAAAGTCTCCTACAACATAAAATCTACTTCAATACTTAATCTAACAATAAACATAGATACAAATAACACAAATAGAATTACATAAAGAAATTTCTTCCAAACTTCAGTCTCCTAAAATGGTTATGCACATTCTTCTCTAACTCATGAATTTTGTAATAATCGAACGAACACGGGCTCGTTCATGAACGTTCGATTATGTTCCCCTTTTTATTTTCGCTTCGAGTTCATCGACCGCCGGAAAAATGACGGAACAAGATTCATTGAGGTTAATCTTTGAATCCAGCATCTACCTTTGAAACCGTTGACTTGAAATCGAACAACGATGGCACAATCAGGACAAGATGACCAAACAACAAGGGGAGGGGACAGCCACGGTCCAATCCCTTCAACTGGTAGGGCCAATACGGCCATAATACCATACCTTGCTACGCTTATGCAGAACCCTGAGTTTGCGAAAGGCTTCTCAATACTACTGGCCCAGACAATGCCGGGAGCCTCGAGAACCGTGCTAGGTCAGTCGTTGGCGCCCATAACCCCGGCCAGGCCGGCGGCACCACCGCAACAGGGCGTGAACAACCAAGCGCGCTCACACGCAACGTCCCAACCGAGGGACGGCGCCGCCCAGCGACAACCAACCCAGATGGTGAACCCCCAAGAGCAAGATTTGCAAGAAATGACGGCAGAAAGCGAGTCCGGACATGCCCGGAGGGAAACCACCGTCGCTAGACCCTTGTTCAGAACGGCGGGAAACCCAACCGACCTCCGGCACCAGATAGTGCGGGGCCGAGCGGCTAGGCACGACAACCCTGAGATGGAAACCTTAAGGAGGAGAATCGCCGAACTTGAGACTTTACAAAACCAAAGGGCGAGGTCACCTCCCAATCAACGCAGTCAAGAGACCGGCCACGTGTACGTGGAGACGGACTCCCCACTCTCTCCCGAGTTGACTCTAGAGCCGCTGACCGGGAAAATAAAGGTCCCACAAATCGGCCTATACGACGGAACGTCGGACCCAGACGCCCACCTCGGGCATTACACTTCATGGATGGATTTACACGGGGCCACCGACGCCCTCAGGTGCCGCATGTTCTCCCTAACTCTGGGGCCAAAGGCACAAAAGTGGTACTACTTGCTGCCTGCGCAGTCTATCCGACGCTGGGTTCAACTCAGGTCGGCGTTCCGCTCCCATTTCGTCGGATCGCAAGTCTGCTTGATCCCAAAGGAGTCGATCACGAACATCGTCCAGAAGGACGACGAGAGCTTGAAGGAGTATGTTGCTCGTTTCAACGAGCGTGTGCAAAACATGGAGCCGTGCCATCCTGAGACACTCTTGGTGAGCGCCATTTCGGGGCTGAAGCCGAAGTCGATGTTCAGGTGGGCGTTGTGCCAAAACAAGCCCAGTACCTTCCAGGAATTTTTGGTCCGGGCACAAAACCACATAATCGCTGAGGAAAGCATGTCGGTCCCGGATTTCACGTCCGCCTCCCCGGGACAAAAACCGACGTCGGAAAAGAAGAAGAAGTCTTTTGGCAACACGCACAAGAAGACCTCCTCCACGGACCCGAGGTGGGGGGATCCGAACGACCCCGAGGTACGAGCAGCTCGGAAACAATACCGAGAAGACCTAAAAGAAGGATACCGATCTATCTATTCGGTCGGAGCGGCCGCCATTTACGAGGAGATAAAGGGAAAGGGAATCATCCCCGACGCTCGACCAGTCAAAACCCCGGAAAACCAACTCGACAAGGGCCGCTACTGCGACTACCACAAGTCGCCGGGTCACAATACAGATGAATGCCTGAGCCTGTTGTCGGCTCTGATGAAGCTCATCGGTAATCCACAAGTGAGGAAGTTCACCAAGGCTGGAGACAACAAAGGAAAACGAAGAATGCAGGAAATCCCCGACGACGACGAAGGAGATGAAGGGGCACCGACTTTCAAGAGGCTTCGAACCCAGGGAGATAGAGAAATCTTTGTGATCGGACCGGCGGACGTCGGTTCACCCCAAGACCAACACAGGAAGAGGGGCCGAGAAGCCGACGCCCAGCCGAGATCCGGCCAGACCCCTCCGACCTCGGGACGGTCGAGTCCTATTCCCCGAGTTAATACAAACCGAGATACACCAACTTCATCCAGAAGGCAGGCCAAGGCCTATGCGCGGAAGGCCTACAACTCGGGGAAGCAAGTCATGACCTCGGATCTTAGAGAGACGATCAATGCCCGCACCTGCCCGA